ACGAACAATCACGAACAATACGTGACGAACAATCACGAACAATACGTGACGAACAATCACGAACAATACGTGACGAACAATCACGAATTCGAAACCAAAACGGCGAAAAACCCAAAGATACGAACGGCGATGGGTTATTTTCAACATTTTCAATGATTCCTTTTATTCATATACAATAATGGCACATCGAGGAATTTAATAAAATTACAAATAGTTACACATAGTACATAGTTAATCAACATCATCATCATCATCATCATCATCAACATCATCAACAACATCATCAACAACAACAACATAATTCTTTCTTTTACAAAATATATAGGTATATAAACGACACAAAACCGCTGCCACGCTGAGAGGTTGATGAGGCTCAATTAGTACACGCGTGAACCACGAGAGGGCGACACGCTCGGCCCACGAGAGCTGGACCCACCGGCCAGTTAAAAATCCTTCCAACATGCCGATAAAAAACAGACAGACGCGTTTGCCGGCTACACATGCCTCTGACGACGTCGGCTACCCTGCTAATCCGTAGCCGATACATCCGAATGAAGCAGGCATCGAGAGAGGATGGATCATCAGAGGACAGATGACTTCTCTCGCTATGATGGTTCATTCTCTCTCCTACAGATGTCGCTCGTTGCGTCGAGCTGCGCGCAGACGAGACCATGCATGCGAGCGCGAGGAGAGCCGCCGACGATTTGTGAACGGACGCCAACAGAAAAAAAACAGCAATCGTCGAAAATATCGTGAAAAAAGCGCCGAGCCGATAGAAAAAAATTAACCCCAAAAAATTGCGCGTTTTTTGCTGCTTCCGCGCGGTCGGTGAAGGTTATATCAACTGATTAACCACTTAAATAATTGAGTACCCTCTAATAATCGACGAATAAATTATTTTCGCAATTCGAGCTAGTGCCTAACTGGTTTTGAAGTTGCTGGTAGGTATACTGAACATAAGCACTTCACTTGGCAACGTTTCCCGCTCGTCTATGACGTTTCTAACGCGGCGGCCGCACATTTTCTTGTAAAAAATGTCGTTTGTAAGTCACGATTCGTCAACGAACGTTGATGCCTGAACGCGCATGCGTACGCGCGTGCGCATAAACAGTACGAGGATTTGACAGTAATCAGAACTGCGCACGCGCAGCAATACCCTGTTTAGTCACTTTTCGATTACTGACGTTGATTCTCGATTCGTTGCCGACGCGCCTTGACACATGCCGCACTACGTTTTACGAGCGTCGCCCCCCACCCCCAGAAAATCCCTCCGCGGCAAACTAGTGCGCCGTGACGTAATGACCGTGACCTCACGAACGACCGCAATTCCCGTGACGTCTGTGTGACGTGGGGCGAACGGAAGCAGCACGCGACGACGATGGGGAAACAAGATGGCCGCCGCCGACGACGATACAAACGCGCATCAGCGAAACCAGATGTGACCTCGTCGCAAAATAGCGGGCAGCAGTCTTGTGTATGTGCGTCTGCTTTCTGGTAGACGCCGCTGCTTAGCGACAAGGCGGCCCTTGTGCGAAGGTCTACGCGCGGGGGCAGTGATCGTTGACACATACGGACTCTCTATGGAGAACAGCGAGCGGGGGCGGGGGTGGGGTAGGAGTAGTGGGAG